CAATCAAAAACAAGACAAGGAATAAATCCAAGGGATGTTCGAGTTGTCAAGCCTAAAATGTGGGCAAATACTGATGCGCCAGATCGATGCCCTGTTGCTTTTACCAGCTATACTCCGAAAAAAGAACCGATGATTTTTCATGACCCCATGACCCATTTTATTTATCTACACATACTCGGCAACATGCAATTTCAATCCCACAGCAATGGTTTAAAAGACAGCCAGTTGGTGTCAACAAATTATCATCTTTAATGAAAAGAATGGCAAACACAGCTGGTATTGGTGGAGACGAAAAACTCACTAACCAGAGCGCTCGAAAACATCTTGTGCAAAAATTAAAAAAGGTTAACGGCCTTTTCTTTAATTGCAATGATATTTTAATTGAAAACAAGAGATATTTTTCACTATACAAAATGTGACTTGATCAGCCTCTCGCTGTGTACAAATGCCGACCACCCTAAAGTTCTGCGATAAAACCCAATGGAGTGCTAATGCTAAAAAAACTGACATGGAGATCTAGATTAGCACACCAATGGTAAACATGTGTCATAGTAATATTTACCTTCCCATATAAAGCCAAGTCAATGATAATAATCAGGGAGGATAGGAAGAGAACGAAAAGCGTCCTCAATGTCTGCTTTTGCCACATGCGAATTAAAACCATGTGACTGAACTAAACCGATGACAGTCTCTATGTTTTTGTAAGAGACGGAACAGAACTCTCGTGGAATTGAATCATTAACAGACGCTCCTTTTGGAAAGGACAAGTCATGGATGTCGCGATATTTTCCTACTTCTATTTTAGGAACCAATCCTAAAAGTGAACAAATAGAATTTGGAAAGGGGGGTTGATCATAAGGACCTCTATATCGACCTAATTTTATTTCCTTTTTCCAAGACAATTTCGGGATTCTCAATAGCACTTTTATGATCTCAGCATTTCAAAACTGACTGTACGGAAGGTCCAGCACCAATACGAAAGCCAACGGAAAGTAAAAATTTCTGTCAAATTGATTGTTACCATTAAGGTGATACGCTTGTCTGTCACACTTCACTGGTGTTCTGAGATTTTGGAGAAATTTGTGATTTTTTTGCAGAGCTACACGTGTTTGTTGCATGCCTTTTGCCACAGTGTATACACAGGTGTTTGAGGTTACACTCTTTGAAACCACACTGCCCTGTAGTGCAGAATTTCCAGCGGAAACCTTTTGGGTATTCTGGTCTCTGCTGGATCCTGCCATGAAAGGGAGTTTTGCTGCGCTTTGAATTAGAGAAGAGGTTGTAAATTCCAGATTTGTTCTGGCTTGCCCCCCCCCCCCCCCCCCCCCCCCCCCCCCCCCCGCTGCAACTCCTCATGCATAACCGACCACATAAGTTTGTTTACTTGACGAAGTTTTCTAAATTCTTCGTTATAAAACATTGCCGCCTGGAATCCGTAGTCTAATGCCAATTTTCATATGTTGTTTCCATACTTAATCAGGTCTAAAGCGAGCCATGGGGTGTTTTGTAATGTATAGGGACATGTAAATATTTAACGCATTGTTCCTTTGATGGACATTGATCAGTGTCTTTATCGGGGTTTGATTACAGTTGGTTAGAAGTTTGACACCTGACGAAATATCATGTACTTCGTCAGGTCTCTTGATGTGTGGTAACAAGGCGGCAAAGTCTACGTACACATCATCGAAAACAAAATTAGTAAGTTTGTCACTTACACGATAAGCTAAAGGTAAAGCATTTTTGACAAGAGAAATGTCGCTAAAATTTACAGGCATTGTGGTACTACCTTCGACAGAACTAACAAATGGTAATTCATTGTCAACGGTGGCTGATGGTACAGGTTGGATGATCGTAGAGCTTGAAGACAGGTTGCCAGTTAAATACAGCAGATCTGCATGGCGGCATAGGCGTAACAGTCGGCAGTTGGCTAGTGACAGAATATGAGTTTGGATGGTGGATGCCAGGCGCTGTTGAAGAAGAAGACGCAAACTGGGTTGACGAGACGGCTCATTAATAACAGCAGGATTTTTAATTTTCTTAAGAAGGGCTGCTGCAATTTCGTTTGCGGAGAATACATTTACGTGTAGAGAGGGAACCAATGAGTGTTGTTCAAAGACACACGTGTTAGCTGTAATGGGCGGAGCTGCCCTCTTTGAAGACCACGCCCGTTTTGTATTTGATCCATCTTGGTCTTGCAGGGACACCTGCACACGTTTCTCACTCTAGAAATGTTTAATAATAAAGGATTAATTGAACTAATACTGCAAGCTCATGCTTTTGTACGGCCAACATGTGTCTATATTTACCAATATAAGTTCAATAAACCTAAAGTACTTTTTGCGGATTATGTTCAATTGATAACCCACTTAATCCCTAAAAGTCTACAATTTATTAGTCGCCATTTTTTAATGAAATTCAAAGAAATTATATGATCAATACAATGAAACCTTAAGATAAAATGTTGTAATTAAAATAACCATTTTCTTTTTAAAACGAGTAAGGTAAGGTAAAAAAAAAATGAAATGTATCACAAATATCGTGGTCATAATATCCTGTTGCCTTTAGTATCGCTTACTATTTAGACACGGAAAATATTACGCGAAAATAGCAAGAAATATGTTTCAAAAAATGACAAAAAGCAATGTCAGCCATCCCAACAGGAATGTATCCGATCATATAATTATTGTTTAATATAGTTGAGCCGACGTAAAAAACAAAATGATTTGTAAAATGTGAAAGTGGAAAGTGGAAAATCACGACTATATTTGATGAAAATAGCGTACATACTTATTTATAACGTTGTTATAAATCTAGCGTTGTCGGATTGGGCTGTGTAGTCTAGTTCATATTGATGACGCTCGCAATCTATCGTATATTGTTTGGAATTTAACAAAAAATAAATTAATTGTGGTCTAAACATATATATTATTGAACTCACTTGGTGGTGTGGATTGATATAGGAAATTAGCGCGTGCCCTTAGTTATGAACATGTTTGAAAAATACAAAAGCATCTTTTTGACGTTATCATGAAATAAGTGTTACATCAGACTGGCCCGTGCTGCTAACATATACAAAGTTTTTACCTCTATAATGTTCAAAATATAGTGTGCATTCTTTTTATTAAGGTCCTCCGACTTCACGGAAGACCTTATAACTCTAATGTTTCTTCCAATTATTTTTTTTTCTTACGTCTAATTTTATGCACGCGATTTCCTAAAGACTACTGGGGATTTTCATTATATTTGCAGGAATAGTTGTTATCTGAAGCTATTTTATCCTGGAGTTTTTTTTTTTTTTGATATTCGCTTCTGCTGCCAGGTTGCGGACTATTTTCTGAATTGTAAATGGTATTTTGTCCGTGGATAATCTCAAGAACGGTAATGGATATCAACATGAAACTTTCAGGAATAATATTTTTGATTCTTGAATGTAGTCCTTTGGTGATAAGTACTACCCAGGACGCTGTCAATACCTTCGGACGTTAGCAGATGCAAATTAAAAAAAGTCGTATTTTCTAGCATTTTTTGTTTTTCAATGTTTTTGAATTATTTTGGTTTAAACTTAAGATATTAACAGTGGCTTAAAAATGGCGACTGTCTCCGTGGACTCCGACATTTACGAAATAGGTTCATATGGAGACAATCGAGCGTTTGGTTGAAGGAAACTAACATGAGTATAAATGGAATGTGAAAGAATACTCGGATTATCACGTCGTAGTTACGTTGCAATTCTGTGTTAAAATAAAGTTATAATCTGATGCATTCTCATACATCTACTGTAATTGATCTTGCCTGGTTCTCAAAGTAGAAAAAGACAGGACTACATGTACAAATAAAAACGATGAAAACAATACATTAAACCTTTCCTTTTGTATGTTTTGCTCCACGGAAAACATAACTTAAATCATGGTCATAAGTAAAAGTCTTTCAAAAACATTATATATACAATGTAGTAAGTATGATATGAGACCAAAGCTTTTCCCATGTACATTTTTGTCATATTAAACTAATAAAAAAGGCAAAAAAATAAATAAATAAGAGAATCATTCTTTAAAAGATCCTTAATGAAGTTTATAAATAGTTTTTTTTTCAAAAGATATGATGCATGGTTTTAAACATAAATGGAATCAGATTTCTTCCCCGTCAAAGACTTAGGGTGAGACTTGTTCATAAAAAAAGTAACTAAGCGGGATATTCATTTCGTAAATATGATATGTAAAGTGTACAATGTGTTAAACAACTTCCTAAACTTCGAAATTTAGGCTATAAGAACGTTTTTTTCAATTTCATTGAATATATCATACCTGTTTAATACAACGTTCCAAAGAAAAGGCGCAAAGATTTACTCGTAGTGTTTGACGCAAAATTATGAATAGTGACTCGCCATTCATAATTTTAAGAAAGATGTTCTGTCGGAGAAGCATATTAAAGTACATTTAGAGCATGACTCCCAATAGCGTAATGGATAGCGCATTGGGAATAAAAGAAAAAAAAACGCGCTGGATTTTTAGACTGGCGATCCGGGTTCAACTACCCTTGTGTCCATTTTTTTTCTTTTCTTTTTTAGCTCAATTTCACGTTTTTTTCCAGAATCGGACGGATGACCTCTCGTTGCTCGCAACGAGTTCGTTTCTAAAGCCCTTTCTATATTTACTAATTATGATCATGTATGATAAAATATCATTGTACATACTTGCCATTGCGGGCTTTGCTAACTAAAAGAAATTAAAGCATTTGCAATTGTCCACGAACTTTTTGGACAACCATTGTTTCAAGAAGATAAGTTTTCATTATTTTAAAATGAAATACAGAGCTCAAAATTGTCTTTGATTATGAAATAACAACGTTTAATTATTGATTCTGACTACTTTTGCCTCACCTTGCAGAACAGTTAGAATTTTAATAATGTTCACTCGTTGAAGGATCGTCAAGCGCGATGCACGTCTCTCTTTATTTGTCGTGTATAATCCTTACATTGCTCAACTTCATCAACTCCTATCAACAATCAACCGAGTATGTACATGTTTATGACAATGACAATCAGATAACGACAACCAATATTCTTTCGGAAATAACAAACATTCCAAGTCTGTCGAGCTGTAGCGCTATGTGCAGGAAGAGGGCTGATTCTGTCTCGTTCTTCTACAATTCTGCCATTAAGAAATGTGTGTGTACCGGACAGGTACAACAGAGTGACCTTTTACCCTTCGTAGGATACGTCCACTTTTCTTCGTCAGGTAGGTTTTCTTATTTCCAAATTAGTTTAAATATCACACATTAGAATAAATGAAACGTTTGCAATATTGCTAAAGCTTTTCGGTAACGAGCGAACATAGCAGCTTACATGTACATACATTGTACATGTACTCTTTGTTATTCAAATCTTCTCATAAAAAATATACAAGAAGAAATTAAACCAGGATTACGAACAATAATCAAATAAGTCCAGAGAAACAATAAATACATGTATTTGCAATAGAGAAGACAGGGACTCATTAGCGGTTGGATCAGGTGTCAATGAGGTGTAAGCATAACCTGCAGACCGGTCGAAGTAGTGCTTCAAACATGCATAAGCTATTTCTACCAGAAAGAGAACAGTTTTATTATTTATTCAACAATAAATTTTCCCATTTTTAGGTATAAAATTGTGTACGCGTTTATTCGAACAAAAAAAAAAAAATGCCATGAGCATAAAACTTACAGATGTTTCAATATCTTTGACAGATATTTCGAGCATAAAACTTACAGATGTTTCAATATCTTTGACAGATATTTCGAGCATAAAACTTACAGATGTTTCAATATCTTTGACAGATATTTCTCCTTGGAGAGTGTTCGGTAAAAAGCAATATTTGCAAATTAAAGATAAAATCAAATGGATTGACGCACAGGTAATTTTTTTGTTTACAATTAATTAAGATATTTTTTATTAATTTCCATTTTGGACTTTTTTAAAAACATATATACAATGAAAAAAAATTAATTCTTAAATTAGTCCATCTAAAAAAGGAGATTATTCTTGTTTTCTCCTCTCTTCGAAAAACAAATTTCAGACCACACAACTTTATTTTTTTTTTGTTTGTCGAACATTTGATGAAAAAATACGAACGGGTAAGAGTAAAATAATGTTATGAGTATTGTAGGCAAAAATGTAAGGTGTTGCGTGAAAAATAAATGAGCGGAAACTATATTTTTCTGATTTACAGAGTAAGTAGATTAAAAGTATGATAAATGGGGAGGAAATGGAATCGGCAATTGCACGGAATTTCTAAAGTGCTGCAATTTTTATTTGATAATATGTGTATCGTTTTGACTAAATACGAGAGCATGTGTCCAACAAACAAACAAGAATGTTGGTGTGGCCTTATATAATATTTTCCAGCTTATACGTTGAAAACATAGCGAACAATGATCATCCTTAAAGGTTTCGCATGTGAGTTAATACCAGATGTACTAGGTATTTCAATGCAAATGAGTTAAGACAAAGCTGAAAATACAGAAGTTTTATTCAATTAACATACATAAAATTTGTACCTGCGACAAGGAAAGCAAGTTTAAATCATGAAGCCATTTTATCATATTACTGTTCTTTACCACTCCATGTAATACATACATGTAAGGCACGTCGACAAAACAGTAAGGACTCTTTCTTATTAGATATAAATAAAGCAAAATGCTTGTTCATCAATGGATATTTAATTGATTAAGAAATTTGCTGCACAAATCCCAATAAGGTTCACATACGAATTTTAGGGATCTTACAGCGGACTGTGGATTGTTACTCCGTTTCATTTGAAATCTTGTCAAACGAAGTAGTTACTAAGCAATAGAAACGTCAACTTTTTTTTTTACAGCAAAAACATTAATATTTGAGTATTATGCTTTAATTATACTTTGTTCCTGTATAATGAAATATGATTTGCTCTTGCATTAAAGCTTTAATTTTGGTTATTTTTTTGTTTAAAATCATAGATTGTATATCATAAAATGATGCCATAGTGCTTTTAGTTTTTATATACCATTATTACAGCCAATATTTGATAAAATAAATTTAATCCGTCTTTATATAAGAGGTGTTGTCCTTGCGGATTTTCAATAGTCCATCTGCATACACTGTTTTAACTCGCGAACAAATGATAGGCAGAGCCATCCAGGGATTTAAAACAGTGGTGGCTTCAAATGCCTAAAGGAGTAAACATTCCCTGACGACTGGACATTTACTCCTTGTATTCTCTATCAAACTGAGTTTTAGGAAAAATTAATAGACTGTTCTAGTAAAAATGAAAAGCCTTTCAAATTGTATGAAATAGGTGGCGATGATAAACAGCCCTCGAGCTCAAAAGTCTATTAATCATTACAAAATAGGAGCAGAGCAAACATGGACCTCCAAAACATCATAGGTAGTATTAAGTGTAATGTAGGAATGGACATATAATAATTGTATTTGCAAATAATTGTCATTGTATGGATCACAGAGTTTGTGAAATATGGACTTCCAACGAGATTGTTTAATCCCTTTATAAAAGAATTTATGTATTTTAAATATACTATTAAGTAGACTTATTCATTTAAGAAACCGCTCTTTTGTTATTCTTTGGTGTTTTACATCCTTTCCGAGAATTTTTCACTCATTTGGAAACTTCACCACTTGCCAGAAGAGAGCTGCAGACTTTGACCTATGCCCGGCAAACAGGGCCATTCGGCACTGGGGGATCCTTTTTGTCCCAAAACGTACTGCGGCAAGGGACCTCGGATTATACGGTCTTATCCGAAGGACCGGTCTCCACGTCTCACAGTGGTATTAACTCCTTACCCCGCGACTCTAGAGCAGACACTCTAATCCCTGAAACAACGATTCCCAATTTGTAGAAAACGTTCTATCAATGCACTTTCTTTTGTCAGACATAAATTTCATATGCAAGTGATATTATTGTAAATCGCTCATAATAATAATTATAGTGTATAGTACATCAATGCATCACAGCTTGTTTAACATGACAGCGAAATTTGTGGTAGAAAATTCTGGTCAACATCTAAGACATCAAATATTTCTAATATTATATTTATTTCATTATATACTGCGGGAAGATTGAAATATTTATCTAAATATTAATTTTCTTCACAGCTTGAATGCAAAAAGCTCGGCGCAAAACTAGCAGAAATAGAAACTACGCAGGAAAACGCATTTCTGAAAAATTACGCAAAGGAGAATAATTATGGTAGGCATGCTTATATTCGAGTTGTAGCAGTTTTTGAGAGAAAATAAAAGGTATAAATTCAAATATACCTACAAAATACTTAATGATGTATTCTTCTGTTAATTTCTAATTAATCAAAATTTTCATACTTAATTCCAGTCTCTTTATCAAAATAAACCTAAATTATTTGGCTTTTCATTAAATCTCTATAGAATTATGAAATTAAAGAAAGAATATTAAAGTATTCATATTTTAATGCTAATTCTAATTTCTTACCTTACTTCAAATTTAGTTTATAAATCTTATTCGTTAATAAATCCGGAAAATCGTAAAAAAAACAATAATGATATATAGTAAAAAACACATTCATATTTCTCTTTCTTTTGTAAAAGGCAATGCATTTATTGGAGGAACAGATGCCTTCTCTCACAACACTTGGAGATGGTCAACAACATTTGAACCAATTACATTCAGTGACTGGGCACCCGGTAAGCCGGATGCAAGCACGAGAGACGAATGTCTCGCACTGAATACTATATATGACATGTCTTGGGATGACTTCGAGTGCGATGCAAGTTTCTCATTCATATGTGAGCGAAAAATGGTATAAAGGGAACTACGTTTTGCCTGGTCTTTACATAAAATCAGAATAGAATAAAAAAATAGAACCCTAGAAACTAGTCTTGATTTCGAATTATTTTTTAAGGAAATAGTACATCTGTTTATAAAGACATTTTGACACAAACCTATACATGTAACCTTGATACATAATATTTGAATAAATTACGCATATAGGTTAAGATTCTTCGAAAATTATCGTGACAGCACATTCTTTGCAAGACTTTTTTGAACTACAAAACAGAATGTCATAATGGAATATGACGTCAAGTCACTGCAGTTTGCCCACTTTTGACAGGAAGAATATCAATAAGTCCAGATCTTATGGTGTTTAAATCTTCAAACTTATTGGGTACTCTGCTGTAACCAGAATGCTTATTTATACACCTAGGCAGGTCACTGACAAACAGGATTATTATTACAGAGATTCAAAAACCTCCTGTTTAGTCAGCATTATTAAAGTCTTTGGTAGTTGTAATAACTTGGGTAGCAAAGAAATGTCTGTCATAGGGTCAGAGGCTGGCTGACATGTTTCATACCCTGTGTGTAACATTTGTTTTTATACATAATTAGACTACGGAGTATTCCCTCTACCTGATCTTAAATGGGAAAGTGATGAACACAGCACACAAAAATGATCACGTAACGGCGCACCGGAGAGCAGTTTGCATTGATTTAGATCGTGTGGTAACGCCGTAAGAAACTTTGAATGAATACAGAAAAAAAAATTATCAGATCTTTAGTGTGGGAATGAAATGGGAATTTTTTTAGAGAGTGAAGTTTTTTTTTATCAATATCAAGGCATTTGGTCAATTTTTGGCAGTTTCCTGAGCATTCAAATTCGAAATAGGAACACGTCACACGAAAAATGGTGACGTTAGATGACGTCACAGTGCACCGGAGATCAGTTGCTTTGATTAAAATGGTTTTATAGCGCCGTAAGAAACTTTAAATGAATACATAGGAAAAGAAAATCCCCAGATCTTTTGTATAGAAATGAAGTTTTTTAGGTAAAGTCTTTCTTGAACGAGTTCACAGGTAGTACAAAACTTAGAGACAAACAGCTATTGTAGCAAAGGACGCTGTCACTTTTGACCATACATGAAATTGTCTCTTAGTTGAATGATGGAATAATGTCCGTAATTTACCAAAAAATCGCCAGAATATTACACGTTTGTGCCAAATTGGCTCATCTGCTTTGTAAAGACTAAAGTATGTGCATCAATTAAATTCCTAAATTTAAGTGGAACTTATCCAACTTTATTTTTAGCGCAAAGATGAAACGTGATGCTGTTTTAGACACTTTGACGTTATCATCCATGCGCCTTAAGGCGTTACAATACATAACATAAAATCTCATAATTTATTTATTTATGCATATATCTATTTGAAATTTGCTATGTTTATTCACAAAATATGTACTAATGAATAGTTAACATTTCAGAACGGAGTGATGATTATTATTCACGTAAAGCAACTTGTCCACTATTTTATCGGACAACTCTCGTACAATAACGATAACACAGTGTAGTCTATATCCCAGAACCATTTAATGTAGACAAATTCACATTTTTTTAAAGTTACATTTTTTTCTTTTATCTTCCCTTCTTACTCCGAGTGTGAAATTTAAAATTAGCTCTTCCACGTTTTATTGTTCTGGAGCCTTTATTTTGGAAACGAAGATCAATTAAATATGACTTACTAAGTTATTTCGTTCATTTGATTCCATAACAAGATGAAGTTACACAAGGTATGAACATGTCGTGTAGTTTGAATTAAAAATAAGCTCATCAACGCTTTATGATTCTAGAGACTTTTTTTCTGAAGTTAAGATCAATTCTTGGAAAGCAGCATCACTTCCAAAAGACTAAAAAGAATGCAGAAACGATTTATAATTTACATTTTTGTTTTATTTTTACATTTATCACATACACTAAACCTAAAAGTTTGAGAATCAGGTTAAAACCGAAATTAAATTTATTTAATTTCATGGAAACTTTATTGTTAAAATCAGTCATTAAATTAAAATTATTTAATATTTTAATTTAGCGAAAAGATAACCGATTCGTGATTTTGACGCAAAATGATTGTGGAGACTAGTCTAGCAGTGTAAAACGTAAAGAATAATTTCTCTGTATGGTTAATATACATGTACTTTAAACGTATTTCCATACTTTCCCTGGAAGTTGTCTTTTGTTTGCAGTCCGCTGTCCGTAGTGCCATGTCAGATATCTGAGATTACTAAAATGTTCAAAACCCTAACATGAGGTAACAGGTCGATAATATTAGTAAATATGACTGCAGATATTCTTGTTTTTCGACTTCTTGTCAATAATTTACCTCGTTTTGTTTTTAAAACCTCCATACGTAAAGCATGCTCTTGCGTATCGAATCAACTGAGATATGTAAAGTTCGTATGCAGGTGAAAGTATATTGCTGCACAAGTAAGGAAAGTTGACGATAGAAAAGTTAGTCATAACGATTATCATATAGCTTGATTGTTAGATCACCATTATCGTTTTCAAGTAAAAATATGCAAGTATGAAACAGATGTGTCAGACTCTGTTATATCTTTAATCTCATGCTCACCAGGATATATCGTATCGACATGAGAATTGAAATAACCATAATTGTTAATTGACAATACGTCGTCGCTATTTCTAAATGTCGAGTTGAAGGCAACAGTTTTTTCTTCTTTTCACATATGAGGTTTTGCACAAATTCTGCTTCATATGAATACAAAAACAGGTCTGCTAATAACGGAGCGCAGTGGGTACTAATGGAATTCCAATAGATTGTTGGATGACTTGGTCTCCAAAAATCACATAGATATTTTCAATCAGAAAATCATGCATCTTTTTTATATCAATTTCAGAGTATCTGTCTGTGCAATCAGAATGTGTTTTAACAAATTAATTTTGCAAATGACCAATAAACAAGTAAGTACATTCACGAGTTCCAATTTCATTGAAAAAGCATGTGTCAAAGATATCAAAAAGTCTTTACTTTAATTTATCGTGGGAAATGGTTGTGTATAAAGTTGAAAAGTCGTACGTTTTTACGCTGTTGATTTTGGTGAAATTTTGTGATTTCCAATTGTACAAACGTTTTTTTTTTTTTTTTTTTTTTTGAATTCATGATCTACTTCTCATTCACACCACTTTTTGAATATGTCGTTGCACAGTACTCTTGATTGATTGAATATTGTTTAACGCCAATTCGGCAATCTTTCAGCCATATTCTGGCGGCACAGTACTCTTGAAGTTACCCTTTAGCGGGTCATTTTCACTGCCGTAAATTTGAATTTAATAGGTATTATGTTACCATGGAAACTGTATTCAAACTTATTCCTTTATTTCTGAAATCATGGCTTTCTTGAAAATTAAGAAATCTGTAATTTTGGTGGCATCTTTTAAATTTTCCATAAATGTTTATATTTATATTTTGGATACCCTAAGATGATTTTTTACTTAGAATTATATCAGATTGATAGGCAATTCCGTTTTGTACTAACTTATTCCCTTAGACCAGTTTTTTTTATTTACCAAACAAAAGCAATCGTTAATTTTTTCATACAATTTTCTCCGATTCTTTTTTTTTTTTGGTTACACTATATATTTTTAGGAAAAAAGAAAACAAGATATGTTTGTGAAACACTATGCGCCCGGCGGCAACAAAATTTAAACAAGCTATTTTTAGCATATAGGTTACAGTCAAGGTCACAAGGTCTTTGACCTTGGTGTCATTTGAAAGCACTTAACTAGTGAAGTATGCATATCAAATATAAAGTCTATTTCCTATGGTTCAAAAGTTAGAGCGAAAGTTCGAAAAATCTATTTTTAGCATATAGGTCACAGTCAAAGTCACAAGGTCATTGACCTTGGTGTAAGTTGAAAGTGATTAATTAGTGGAGTATGCATTCTAAATATGAAGTCTCTATCTCGAACGGTTCAAAAGTTATGGCGAAGGTTAAAGTTGACATGCAACAGACAGATAAACAGAAAAACAGACAGACAAACAGATAAACAGAAAAACAGATAGACTGGACAAAACAATATACGCCCCAAATAAATTCGGGCGCATAAATATTTAACATTTTAACAAAAACTTGGTATTGAGGGACGTGGTTGATAGGAATCAACTTGTCTCTCTTACAATAAGTCTGTCCATTAATGCAGTCCTTTCCGATAATAACTTTGTAACTTAGAAAAATAAGAAGTTTACATTCTAGTACATGTATACATATGATTTATGATTTGATTAATCTCTAATTCAAAGTATTGTCAAAAATTGTTATACCATAATCATTTATAAAATTCAAATCACTGGCAGATGAAAATATGAAAAATGCTATTAATTGGATTTTATCAATTATCATTTAACGGAGGAATTTAAAAAAAAAACAACATCTGTATCATTCAGCATAATTTTGCAATATGAACATTAAAATTTTGCATAGCATGATCATATTTGAAGTGCAGAAATAAGTAGTGAAACAACATATAGACTTGTATTTTTTATATTTATGAATTTTTAATTTATGATTCTATAGCCAAAGTGTCGTCTGCGTGGCGCAGTAGTTAGAGTATCTTTCTATAGAATCGCGAAGTAAGGAGTCAATCCTTACGTTGCGGAATCGAATCCCACAAGGGACGTGGAGGCCGGTCCTTCGTTTGAGTTCGTATAAACCGAGGTCCCGTGTGTAGTAGGAGATGGCGCGAAAAAGATCTCTCGCTGGTCAATTACCCTAAGTGCCGAGTATAGGTTAGAATCTGTTGCCCTTCATCTGCAAGTGGTTGTATCTCAATATAAATTCTCTACAGGGGCATTAAACAACAATCATTTTTAATTTTCTCTCCATTGAAATCGATGGCCTTTTCTCATTAACATGTACAAAAAATCTAGTATCAGAATGGGAAGATCGTGTAAATATTGACTATGATATGTTGTAAAAAATTCAAAAGGCATAATGATATAAGGTTTTTAAAATTAAACATAAAATGT